GGGGGGGGGGGGGGGGGGGGGGGGGGGGGGGAGCGGAAGGGGTAATAATTTCCCTGTTTTGCCCCGGATGAAATTTTGCTAGTTTGCAGTGCGTCATTTTTGTCTGTTTAACATCTGTTCAATTTGCAGCTAGCCGCACGACTTGGGCGCCCTCTTGAAGATGTCGAAATGAATAATTCAGCAAGGCTACGAGGAATGCAAAGAATTTTGGTTCAGTGAATTATGTTTGTGTAATAATTGCCTCGTGTATATTGCAAAGAAGTAAAATGCGCTAGATGAAGCACATTGGCTCATTTTGCATATGTCCAGCAAGCATTGAGTGTTGGGACGTGTGACATTGAGAACGGCCGATTTTCAAGGCCATAATGCACGCGTATGCTGAAAACAGGGAGAGTAATTCAATTGACAGAAGCTTCTGGGGTAACTGATTTTGGAATGGGATTGCATCTCACAAACACTGATAACGACCTTCTTCCGATTGCCAAGGCAGTCTTGTTGATGTTTGGTTTGTTGACTCGTTTTCCTGGTAGCTTTTTTTTTTGTCTGATTAGCATGGGCTGATCCAGGGCGGTCTCTTTGAGAGAGGAGGAGAGGGGAGGGAGGGGGGGACGACAGGGGGTACCGAACAGACTTTTGTACAGTAAAACAACTGCTACCTAAACCTCTGGGTGAGGGTGAGGGGAAAGGCCCCTCGCCCGCCAATGTTGCTTAATATTCGTCATTGTTGGTTAATATTGCCTTGTCTTTTTGGTTGTGTGTTTGTGATCAATAACTTGTTGGTTGCACTTCCGTATTGTTTTCTTTTTGATTATAATAAAATAAAGAGGTTTGATGTGAGAAAAACTAAGTTAGTTTTCTTGTACTTTCTTTTACTTCGAAAATGTGCCGGCGGTACGTTTCTTTTCTCTTTTTTCAGTGTATTCCCAAATATCAAATATATTTGCTTGCCTGAAGTGTGTTCTTTAGCCTTAAGTGTATATGAGTTTGAGACTGTGATCGCAGGGATCTGGTTATTTTCTCCGCTAAACCTTGTTGACTTTCTTCAGTAACTTATGCAACTGAATTTATTGGCCGCAAGATCAAAGCTGTATGATTGATGAACGTGCATATTTGCTTTATGGGTTTTGCTTTATAAGCCCTTTGGGGGTTACCGGATGCCTGTCGGTGCGGCCCAAATTCTGTGCGTCGTTTTTGAGAGAGTCTGATCTAGAAATTCTTTTCTCTTCCTCACTCCCATCCCTCCACAGTACGTGGCTCAAGGCCTCAAAACTGTAAACTCATGGTTTTGTTTGTTCCCGAATTGCGAAATTAGCAGGATTTAGGCCTGAGGACTATGCAAAAGTCCAAAAATCGACCCCAGACTCTTGCCATGTGTATCACAGAGGGTTGTCTTCTCATGTTCTGAGATTCTCAGAATTGAATTTAATTAGACAAAAACACACACACAAAGTACCATCTCATGGTGATGCTTTTCTTCGCAAAGATCATAAACCGGGCAGTATTCGGAAGAAGTGCGTCAACCTCTCGTGCAGTTCACGCGAAAATTCAGCGCTATACGTGTGTGTGTGTTTCTGTGTGTGTGCACGCGCTTGTGTGTGTATGTATGTATACAGAGTTTCACAGAAGTCAATGCACATGTGCAAAAGGGTCTTTTGTTCCAAAAACGAATGCAAATTTTTGCACAGTCTCTGGCATGTACATCATCTATGCAGATTAGAGCCTCACTAACGTTATTTTAAAGTGGTCTGTTCCTTCTAACCCGGTCGTTGTTGATTTTCACTTGGCTTTCTTTATTACTTTCGTTGCTGTTGGTGCTTTTAAGCTGTGCATGTCTGCTGCACTTCATGACGAGAGGTGTCTGTAGCGACCTTAATTCCGTCCCGAGCTTAGTAGTTTGTATTTCGTGGGCTTCCGTTAACTACTTGCAAACCCATAAGCGGAATCTAGGACGAATACAAAGGGGGAAGGGGGTGGGAGGTGAGGGGAAATCCCCTTGCACCTTGGAACTATGCAAAAAACTAGGAATAGAGTTGTAACACTGCTATTTAGAGTTTACTTTAGTCTTATTT